CATATGAGCCCTATTTCTACTAATCGATAACAAATAACAAAAGACTAACTTGCCCTTAGGCGTCTAGAAGCTTAAATTACCCTAAGGCGCAGGCCTAACACCCTCAGGCAATACTCATGTCTTTCTGGTGCGGGACTGCAACGCTTTGCTGTTTTGGGGACTTTATTGAGAGTGTAGCAATTTACTGTAATGGCACTTTAGATCTTCTTTTACGAAATTGTTGTTGTCTAGGATTTGGTTTCCATGTGATATACTAAATTGTGATTATATTTTCTGGAAAAATATATTATGCAACTGACTTAATTTCTGTTGCTTTGGACTTTGGATGAAATTCAAATTTGATATTTGGGCTATCTAGAATGAGATTTAGTTAATAGTATGCTAATCATATATGGTGACATAGAATGATGAGTCTATCAATAGTTGTTTTAAGATATCTTTGATTAAATAAAATTTCTTCTTCTAGTTTCAATTTATGAGTGCAAATTGGATGTGTGATTCCTTCAAAGGCGCTATAAGTGCAATTAGATAATTATTGGGGAATTGATCCCCTTTTATCGTCATGAGATATCTTACTTTGATTATTTCCTTGAACCAGTTTCTTTAGCATAATTTGTTATTGGCTTGCAAATGCCTTCGATTATATTCAAATTTGACACATTTAAAATTTTAATTATGGTGAATTACAATTACTCGCTGATTATGGTGATTTTTTTTTAAATTATTCAATCATTTCATTATTAATTTGGTTTAATTATTGTTTGCATTTAAAGAAAATGAATTGCTGACCTATTTATTGGGTTTTAGTTTGTAAATCGTCTCTGTTAGATGATTTACACATATGATATCATAATAACTTACATCACCTTTTTTGCTCTAAATCCTGCTATTGGTTTCATCTTCTTCTAAAGGCCTCTGTTAGGACTTTGTTCTTGTTTTCTAAGGCTAGTTTAGAAGTTCAGGCTCTTGTCGAACGTTTATCAAAAGAGCTTACGAAACAGAACTTCTCATTATCTTAAACCTTCACTCATATCAACCTAGCCTATTGATCCACCCACGGAAACTAGTCTGAATCATAAAGTACTACTCAAACGAGGTGTGGATCAAGGTTTTTTTTTCTTAGATAGAGAGACTGTCAATCAAGAAAAAAAACGAAAATCAGATAGGGGAGTTGTCTAGCTCAAGAAAGTGAGCGTTTCATTCAGACAGGCTTCTTTCACTTTAGAGTGGCATTAGTGCCTTCTTGACTGGTTTGAGTTGCACAAAGTCCTTCTCTCGCGAATATAGTGCAAAAGAGTCTCCACCAGCATCGGATATCATTGAAAAAAAGGTGCTATTTACTGAATTGAATAGAGTAGCGAGCCTTCCAAGCGAGTTTCAGAGCAACATCTTCTATGTTGAAACATAATCCAAATTAATTAGATTTCAAGCACCCGATTTAATTACAATTCCTCTATGCAGCCAAAAAAGCTATAAATCAAAGCCTTAAGGTTTCTAATTTTGCTTTGTTTTTACCTTTCAACCAGTACAACCATTTTGTCTTTTTATAACTACTCTTTCAGTTTGTCAATATCATCACATAAGAGTATTATATGTAGAGTTTGTTCTATCCTAATGAATTATTGTCCCTTTCTCATACTAAACTAGAAGCAAATTATTGTTTACATAACCAGCTTTTGAACTATTGTGCTGTCTTCACTTCCCTGATGCTTTTATATAATACGAGGAATAAATTTATAAATAAGATTTATTGAGTTTATTTTGAGATGAACATTACACATAAGAACTAAATAATGTTTGTTTTGCATCCATCTATCTGACGGCTCTCGGTATCTATTGAAACTTCTTAATTTTACCCGCAGTTTCTTGTTTCCTTGCTGCAGTTACTGACATCTTTGGTGCGGAGATGGTGATTTCATCCTTTATGGTACTTATGTATTGTTTTGTTTTGTTTTGATTTCTTACCGACATTTTAGTTTGTCATAACTTTTGATCAGGTTGTACATTTTTTATGGAACGTTATGCGAGCTTAATGCAAGCATTTTTGAATCATCTACAACTTATGATCATAAGCTGTTTACTTTCTACCATAGTTTAATATTCGTGATTGTCAAATAAAATTGTAGCATAATCTATTTGAATCATGTTCGAATATATTTCGAATTATATTTGAACCATATAAGAATCTTTTCTAATTATGAACTTACATTTGAATTTTATTCTCGATTTTATGTTTGAATGATGATTGGATAAGATTTAAGTTGCCTTAAAAAATCATTTATTCGAATAAGTTATATATTTGTTAGTGCCTTCTTGACTGGTCTGAGTTGCACAAAGTCCTTCTCTCGCGAATACAGTGCAAAAGAGTCTCCACCAGAATCGGATATCATTCAAAAAAAGGTGCTATTTTCTGAATTGAATAGAGTAGCGAGCCTTCCAAGCGAGTTTCAGAGCAACATCTTCTATGTTTCTATGTTGAAACATAATCTAAATTAATTAGATTTCAAGCACCCGATTTAATTACAATTCCTCTATGCAGCCAAAAAAGCTATAAATCAAAGCCTTAAGGTTTCTAATTTTGCTTTGTTTTTACCTTTCAACCAGTACAACCATTTTGTCTTTTTATAACTACTCTTTCAGTTTGTCAATATCATCACATAAGAGTATTATATGTAGAGTTTGTTCTATCCTAATGAATTATTGTCCCTTTCTCATACTAAACTAGAAGCAAATTATTGTTTACATAACCAGCTTTTGAACTATTGTGCTGTCTTCACTTCCCTGATGCTTTTATATAATACGAGGAATAAATTTATAAATAAGATTTATTGAGTTTATTTTGAGATGAACATTACACATAAGAACTAAATAATGTTTGTTTTGCATCCATCTATCTGACGGCTCTCGGTATCTATTGAAACTTCTTAATTTTACCCGCAGTTTCTTGTTTCCTTGCTGCAGTTACTGACATCTTTGGTGCGGAGATGGTGATTTCATCCTTTATGGTACTTATGTATTGTTTTGTTTTGTTTTGATTTCTTACCGACATTTTAGTTTGTCATAACTTTTGATCAGGTTGTACATTTTTTATGGAACGTTATGCGAGCTTAATGCAAGCATTTTTGAATCATCTACAACTTATGATCATAAGCTGTTTACTTTCTACCATAGTTTAATATTCGTGATTGTCAAATAAAATTGTAGCATAATCTATTTGAATCATGTTCGAATATATTTCGAATTATATTTGAACCATATAAGAATCTTTTCTATACATTTGAATTTTATGAATTTTATGTTCGAATGATGGTTGGATAAGATTTAAGTTGTGCTAGAAAATGTTTTAATTTGAATTTTGTTGACTCTTTTGAATCAATGTTGGTCAAGTACTGATAAATTGATAGAAAAAAAATTTGCATGTTTAACGAGTATATGTTTTTTTTTTTTTTTTTTTAATTTAATTATGTGTTGATATATTGAACAATATGAGAGTTTAGGTGTTAGATATGTAAATATATAAAAATTATGTGGAAGGCACGTAAATGCATTTATTTGTAAATAATTGTATATATGTAATATATTGAAGTTTCGGTGCTAGATATGTAAATAAAATGGAATCCAGTGGTATGCATATAAGTCTCGTTTTAACGTCACTCGGCCGAATGATTTTTATTTCCTGTAATGGTCGAACTTGTAAATTTGTTCTGAAAATTTGCTATGCATCTAAAATGCCTTTTCTTTGTGTTAAAAAATCATTTATTCGAATAAGTTATATATTTGATAAAGTTTTTAATTATCATTTTAATCTATTTTTGGTACGAAACAAAAATAATTGGTAGACCCTCAAGTCATAATGATGGAGTCATAATGATGGAAAACAAAACAAAGCTCATGTATGGTATTGGGGTCATTTATATATATCAAACGCCTAAATTTAGTTTTTTATATTTATACCATTCAAGTCATAATGATGGAAAACAAGTATGGTATTGGGGTCATTTATATATATCTAACGCCTAAATTTAGTTTTTTATATTTATACCATTCAAATATTACATTTCACAAATATTAGATATCACATTCAATTTTTTTATATATAAGTCAGGTGACCTTGAATAAAAAATGAATTTTTGGTGTTAGATATGGAAATACAAGAGAGTTGAGTGGTTTCTATGTAAATCTTCGTTAACTATTTCATTAATACACATATCTTGCCATAAATTGTTGCAACACAACATGATTTACTTTTCTGAGGCCCCATTATTGCAACACAAGGCGAGTTTTCCAGTTCTCTCCGCAAATGATATTTTGGGGAAGTTTGAGAGTTCCATATCAAAGGAGTTATAAGATGTCAAGAGGTACAAAACCGAAGGAAACACGTTTACAAAAAATAACCTATTATGTTTTAAGAGAAGATACGAAACTTATTGGCCAATAACACAAAAAAAATTAATGAACAAAAAACAAGAGTTGTGAATGAATTTGTCTAGTAAATCATACCTAAGGAATAGAGTATGGGATCGAGAGAAGAAAAATGTGGGAGATAGAGAGAGAGAGAGAGAGAAGAGGAAGAATTGCCCATTATGGGGCGAATCAGGGTGTTTCCGGACTCATGAAGTCATTTTATTCCATAAAATAGAGCTTAAAAGTGAGGGGTGCCCAAAACCTCTTTACATTAAAATTTTCTTCTATTTATAGATGATAGGAGAGCTAAAAAGTAAATTACAATATTACTCTTCTTTTTAAAAGAAGTAATATAATATATTTTAGTCTTGTGTTGGCGTGTTTTGCTGGGTACCTTATTGACCTCTAGATCTGTCATCTTGGGGTTTTTTGTTTGGAGAGTCATGGATTTTGGTGGTCGAACGACAAAGTATTTCATCGGGGGGAAAATTCATCGTCAGTGTCCTCCGTTGTGAGGAAAAATTCCTTCGTCGGAGTCCTCCGTGGGAGGAAAAGGTTCTTCATTTCACCATAGGGAAAAGCCCTCCGTGAGAGGAAAAAGTCCTTCATCAGAGGGAAAAACACTCTGTTGGAGGAAGGTCAAGCTCAGAGTAGCCAATTCAATGGGGGCAAGTAGTTGTTGGGTCCCATTCTCCCACCTAAATAGCGAGAGTTCGATTCGCATAAAGGAGGAATTATTGCGTGCAGACGCCGCATGCATCTCTGCATGCGGTGTCCGATCCTGACCGTAGATCACCGTAGATCACGGTGATCTGCGGTCAGGATTATTTTCATTTTTTTATAAAAAAAAAATTTAGGTAGGGCCCACCGAAATACATCGAGACCGTAAATCAGGTGTTCTACGGCCCGGATCGGACACCGCACGCAGATGAAATAATTTTTCCGCATAAAGAGACTCTCATCTATGAGTGCAAGTGCAAGAGTGCAAAATCTTGTCAAAAAATGTAATATTTACAACTCATCTAAGACATCCAATCAAAAGAATAGTGAGAGCCAAACAAGCAAGACAGCACGCTAATATGAGTAGTGATAATGTGCAGCCATGATGAAATCTTATAAATTACGGGATGTATATATATACTATATAGTGTCATTACTTCGCTAATCACCGACCTGAAATTTTTCAGCTTTTCATTCGCTTCGCTAATCTCTGACGATGAAGCTCCGAATCCGATCGACGGCGACGAAGGAAACGATTCGCGTCGATGTTCCCAATTCCTCCTCCCTCTTCGACCTCAAATCCCTAATTTCCTCGAATCTCTCCTCAGGTACACCAATCCCTCCCGAATCTATTCACCTCTCCCTCAATCAAACCGACGAAATCACGTCTTCCCCTGAAGAGCACCTACAATCCCTTGGTCTCACCTCCGGAGATCTTCTTTTCTACTCTCTCGACTCGAGCGTTAATTCTACTCCAGAAACCCTAAACTCATCGCAAGCTTCACCGGTAATACCATTCTCCTCGGCTTCCACCTCGGCTTCCGAACCGCCCACTGATGACGGCATGGAAGTGGGATCGGAATTGGAATCGGAATCAGAACCTTTTGTGCATGAGAAGACAGCGTCTGTTCCATGCTTCCTTCGAAGGGTTATGGAAACGGAGAAGAGAAAGATTAAGGGGAATATGGGACTCACGGTGGTCGCTATCCATGCAGTGTTCTTGGAGTCTGGATTCGTCGCTTGCGGTGGCGGCGGCGGATCTTCACTTCCGGAAGGATGTGCTTCGGCGTCTCACCTGGTCTCGGTAATGTACACGCTTCCAGATTTTATAAGTTGTGGTAATTTGGAAGATGTTAAAAATGTCATCTTGAAGCTTTCTGCGGTTGGGAATCATGTTTCTATTTACGGGCGCTTGGTTGGAGCACAATCTGATATTTACCGTCTTTCTGTGGATTCTACCAAGTTGGATCCTTTGTTGGCTTCAGCCGTGAATGAACTTCATGAGAAAGAACAGGAGGATATTTTCCAGCTCTGGAAAACTGTTAAGGATCGTCTGTCCATGCCCCTACTTATTGATATATGCCAGAAGAATGGGTTGCCCCTTCCACCCTGCTTTACTCGGCTTCCCACTGATCTCAAGATCATGATTTTGGAGTTCCTGCCAGGTCTCGACCTTGCAAAGGCTGCATGTACTTGTTCTGAGTTGAGGTACCTCGCATCCAATGATGAACTTTGGAAGCGGAGGTTTTTGGAGGAGTTTAAGCTGTTTGCTGCAGAAAGCACTGGAGAGCCTTGGAAGGATAAATTTGCGAGATCGTGGCTGAAAAGAAAGAAAGCCAGGATGGAGAGGGATAATGCATTGGTTCCCTACATTCGTACCCCAAGGATTATACCGATGCCATGGATTCCTGGCGCCCAGAGGTTTCCTATGATTGGCGGAGATTATGATCGTTTCCCGGCTATTGGCGATCCTAGATCATTGCGGAGAGCAGGATTTAATCAACATGCAGCAAGGCGGCATTTTTCACCTAATTGTAATTTGGGTGGAGGTGGTTTTTGAAGTATTCATAAAATTTGTTGAACTGAATTTGGTACTCATGCTTAATTGGTTATCTGATGTATGAATATTGTGTTTTTCGTAGAGCTTATGCTGTTTTATCATTACTGTACTTCACATCTAAGATTACTTGTCTTGGAGGAGAAATTATTCTTTGCTACGATCGGACTCTAGTAATATTTCGACAGTTGTATGTGTTGTTGGACCACATTAATTTTTATTTCGTGCAAAAGGTCTAGGGTTCCATTTCATTCTAGATCACCCTTTCCTCCTCTGTGCTGGCTTCATGGGCTTCTCTCTGCTTCACCTCTGTGGCCTTCTCCTCTCTGTGTCGCCGATGAGTTTCCGTTTATCCTCTGCGTTGCCGATGAGTTGCCCTTCTCTCCTCTGCATCTTCGTTTCTCTTCTCAATCGCCAAGGTAATATGATATTGTGGTTTTAAATTTCGTCGTTCAACATCACCGGACTCTCACGTAAACTCATTACTCATTTTTTAAGGCTTTTCTGTCTAAGCATGAAATGAAAGAAACAAAGGGCAAAGGCAGGAATCATAGAGCTTCAAGGTAAAGGGCTTCTTGTTTAGGAAGAAATGGGTTATTCTTATTTGTCAGTGTTTAATTTTTAGTTATAAAAATGTAAAATTAAAACTTAAAATTTGAGCGCTTATATCATCCTATTTTTTAAAATTATACATATGTTCCTGCCACCTTTAAAGTCAATTGTTGTGATATTTAAAGGTTTAGAATATGGTGATGTCTTAATAATTAAGTAATGTGAAGATATAATAGTAATCGTACGAAATTATAATGATATATGAGTAAAATTTTCTCTTAATTTAGTTGGTATTTAATGTTTATGTGGATTTTGGTTTGCAGAGTAAGAACTTGATGCATGATTTTAAGAAAAGGTTTAAATTGGAGAACTTAGCCTTAAGGGTTGTCTGCATAGACAAACAAAAGTAAATTGAAATTGAGCCAAAACATAAATTCTTTGCTTTTTTCTTGCTTATCAAAGAATTTTGCTTAGCACTTTTTGCAGGAAAATAAACACTATAATTGAGCAAAAATCTATCCCCTAATGTTTCATACCTAAATTTGAGTCATATTAAATAATACTTGATAAAGTTCATTTTGTTTAATGTATGAGGAAAGACACAATAAATATCCCCAATACCATCCCAATATCACATCAATACAAGCTCAATACCACATGCACTGTTTCACAACCAAGACCTCAACAATACAACCTCAATATCACCTCAATATCACTCCAATACCACCTCAATAACACATGCATTTATTCACCTCAATACCACCCCTATACGATCGTAACACATGCACTGATTCACCCCCAATACTACTCCAATACCACATGTGTTGATTCACCCCCAATCTCACCTCAATACTACCTAAAAACTACCTCAATACCACATGCATTGATTCACCTCATTATCACTCAATACCTCCCAAATACCACCCCAATACTACCCCGATGCCACCCCATTTCATCACCTCAACAATATCACTTTGCTATCACCTCATTACCATTCCAATACTACCCGAATACTACAACACCACCTTAACAATATCACCTTAATACCACCCCAATATCACCTCAATACCACATGCATTGATTCACCACCAAGAACTCAACAATACCACCTCAATACCATCTCAATATCACATGCATTGATTCACCCCCAAGACCTCAACAATACCACCCCAATACCATGTTATCATACTGTTAGGGTGGTATTGTTGAGGTTTTAGGGGTTTTGTGCTAAGTACTATTGGCGTGGTATTGAGGTAATTTTGATATGATATTGAGGGTATTGTGTTAATGTATTTTGTGATAGTATTGGGGTAATATTAGGGTGATATTGATCTGTTATTGGGTGGTATTGGAGTATTAATGTAGTATTTAGGTGGTATTGGGATGGTATTGATGTTGTATTGAGGTGATATTGAGGTGGTATTGGGGGGGGTTGTGCCAACGTACTATTAGGGTGGCGTTGGGGTGGTATTGAGGTGGTATTAGAGTTGTATTGAGGGTTTTGTGTCAAGAAACTATTGAGTTGGTATTGGGATGGTATTAATGTTATATTAGGTTGTGCACTTGACATGGTCTTGGGATGGAGATGATTCAGAGTTTTTAAACACAAATGCATCAACTATCATGTTATTGTCATTTACTATTTAAAAAGGTGGTGGTGTCTGCTAGTATTGTATTGAAATTATTGTGATAAATAAATTAAAGTTTGTAATGTAAACTACATAAGAGCAACAACAAAAACAAAACAATGTAAATGATTTTAAAACTCACATCTATTTTATTTTTCTCATCATTTCGAGAACTGTCCATCTTTAAAATTAATTTTCTATGGATTTATTGTAGCCCTCCTCTCCTCACTATGAAGCAACAAGTCCTAAATGAAACCCTAAAACGTCTGAAGAAATGATGATAGTTGTGTAATGAGAAAGAGAACCCTAGGTAGAAATAGTAATGAGATAGGGCACAGTTATTTAAACATATTTTTTTATTCCAAAAATATTTTAAAGGTGGCTTTTCCGTAATATTTTCCGGTTGGGTTTTGGGCCAGGTGCATTCATCGCCAAAAGAGACTTTTTTCCCTGTAAATATAATATTATAATGTGGGTCAACCTTACATACAACTGTCGAAATATTAATGGAGTCCGAACACAAAACTGTGTCCAGACTCCGCATAGAATAATTTCCGGTCTTAGAGAGTTGGATATAGGAGCTAATTCCTGCTTTGAGCTCTGTGCCTATTTTGTTTTATATGAGCCACTTGTTAAATGTAGATTCAGTAAGCTTACTCACTGTAATATAAAGCAAGTTTATATGTATTACTTTTTTATTTTCCATGGATATTTCTTGCTATTTGAGGAAATTTTTTTCTTTTTTTGTATGTGTATGATGCTTGACCACTTTTAAAGATCTTAAAGTGCTGCTAGTCTTGCAAATTTGAAATCTGGATGCTGCTTTTAGGCTATTTCATTTGAATTTGTTTGAGTTCTTCCTTGGTACTAACAAGGTAATTTCTACTTGTTGATACTATTTTGAAAAATGCAATGTAAGTGATTACTGCTTGTTTATACTAATATTTTCTTTGAATTTTCTTAGTTTCTGTATTTACACTATGTAATGCTATCAATTCCAATCGAGAAATGGAACCCTCGAGCGCCTTTTCTATTTCTTTTTTCATTATTTTTATGTCTCCAAATTTTTTAAGTTTTCTTGGATCAGGAGAACATGAAAAGGTAGTTATAAAACTGGATCGTCCAATATGCATAATAATAGGAAAAGCTCTTGATGCTGGCTTATTTGAATTACATTGTTAATGGTTTTTTTTGCATCATTGTTGAAACTAGTGTTTGCTTTAGCAGATGTTCCTCCCGTGAATTTAGAGAAGGATGGACTGCAAAAGGGAGATTGATTTTCATCATTCTTTGCATTGGTATTTAACGAGGATTAGTAACACACTTAAATATAGAGACTTCTAAAGGAACTTCATAACCATAACCAGTGTTATTCACAAAAGTGAAGTAATTTTAATTGATTCCAAAACTATTTTTTATCTACTAGCATGCATTTGTGTTAAGGAGAGAATGAATTTCTCAATGAGAGGGTAAGGAAAAAAAGAATGGAGTTCCTTATTGCTAGGAGAGAGAGGGAGGAACCAGTTCCCTAAGTTTGTATCAAAGACATGTTTTCTCTTTATTCCATCATCTAGCATCATAAAATCTTGGCCTGTATTATATATAACAGTAAGTATACTCTTTGTAAAAATCTATTGTTGTGTCAAATAGGAGTGGCAAATAGGGACAGTGGTATGCCATCATGTTAAATGATAATGACTATACTAACAAATGCAATGACCCATGACCAAGGATTGAAATAGCCAACTCACAATACATTAAATTTTGCAGAGATTTTTGTTGGACACTATGTAAACACATTGCCATACATAAATTAAAAGAATTGAATGTTTCAAGTCTTGATCTAATGTTGTTGTTATATAAAATCTTTTTAACTTGTTGGAACTGTACATTTTCCTATTTTTACAAGATATGTTTTTAGATATATTGGAGATATTTCTTGTGTTTTCTCGTATGTTGATGTGTATGTGCATGGGTATATTTCTTTTATTTTTAATATGCATATTTCTATCTGCATGCTTATTTGTGCATAGCTGGAAGTCATTTTTCAAAACCCAAATCGAAGAAAAAAACAAGGAATCATTGAAAAGTTATCATAAATTTCCCTCTCCTGGATCCAGCATTCGTGGTTACGATTGCAAATTAAGTAGTCACAGTGAAGTACACTGCTGAAAGTTTCATTCAAAGCTTTTTCAGTAAAATTTGAAAAGAAAGTGAATAAAGAGAAAAAGTTGGTTACTTCTCTTGATATAAGTAAAACATGAGATCTTGATTGAAGTTTGTCCTTGATGGACAGACCGATGGGAAATTCCTAAGAGCCCATCATCCAGCATTGGTGTGCATGATGAAATTTGCATCTTTTATGCATCTCCATTAGTCTTATACAAAGTCTTGTGTTAGTGACCACTGTTCACCCACGCGCGTGCTATTTGGGTTGGTTCCTCAAGTTGTTTTTTTTATTGCCATCACTTGAGAATATATAGATGAAGTGTTGTGTGAAGTGGCTCCACTTGAGATTCGTCATGTCATTATTTATAGCCCTTATCTAATAGAGATGTAATTGACTTCATGTGGGACCAAAAATATCTGTTTAACAAGAATGACAAGAACTACTTTGTGAACTAAAGGGGTGATTTTCAACCAAAATACTGAGATGGTAGGGAAGCAAATAAGGGCGATCAATGTTTTTCAAGTTCAATCCTATCTTCCTTAAGGATTGTAATACTTGTCTACTTCTAAGGGAAGAAAAAGAAAAAATTGATAACTTATGGGAGATGAATCGAAGGATCTTCCAGTACAAAGGATGATGGGGCGTGCCTACTTAAATGACTTGAAGGAGAAACATGAGGAGAAGTACCTCATAATGGAAAAAGAAAGGATAGAAGGCACTCATCTTAAGTTTTTTCCTAAAATTAAAAGGCTTT